GCCATGCAAACGGTTTGTGTTTTCAGAGGAATCTGTGGAATCTAGCAGCACACTTTACCACGCTAGCTCTCTTTCTGTCTTTTCTCTCTTTTCTTTTGTAAGATCAGAAAGAAATCTGACCTGTAGAGCTTTGTTCTGCCTCTTGCAATACAAAGCAGTCTAATAACCAAGACAAGAGAGGTTTTTGACAGAGCTCTCTTTAAAAACACTGTTTTAATGGCCTTTGTTCACAAAAAAACGTTGTTAGATGATCAATATTTCTCATCACTGTCACTCAAAAAGCTGTTTTTAAGCTCCTTGAGGATTTGGCATCTCTTACAATTTTACAGTTTGTTTTTTAATGAAAGTTAAATGATTGCAAAAGTGTTTGCACAAGCAAAGTAAGATTTGCAAAAGCATAAATAAGCGCAAATTAAATGTAAATATTAATATATTAATTGCATGAAGCTACTCACTGATAATGAAAGGTTTTTTTTTTTTGGAAAACGAGACGATTTAAACACCAGATCAACATTCATATATTCAAAAAAAAATTCTACTTTACTATAAACACGCTATAAAGGTATATTAATATATTAAGTGTTAAGAGACAACATTTGGCAGAGGAACTATGCTGAGCTAAGCTGTCTGTGTGTAATTAAAACAATCAGATGCGAGTATGATAGCCAAAAATTCCTCATTTAATTCGATGGAGCAAACACAAATTAGATTATATCTGGATGGAAAAAATGTTCACCATACACAATGCATTTGGATTGGAGTTTAAATACTAAATAACAAAAACACAATTGTATGATCTTACAAGGGCATACGATTATATATTGCAAATGCTATTGGTAGGCATATATTTTCATTTTTGCATAAAGTTACTTGTGTGTGCCAGTGTCTTCTATCCATGCAAATTCAACCACACAATTACAGCAGGGCATTTCTTGACCTCCTTTTGTAATAGTCTCCTCGTGAGGGTCACTTTGGCTATTGATATTCTCCATAATGTGTGCTGTTTCCTGACATAAATATGGATTGGTTCTCATAGCATTTCATTTGGAAATATGACATTTTTATTAATGTAACTGAAAAACCACAACATCCCAATACAGAATAAACTCTATACCTAACGGTAAAATATTGCTGTATTTTGTATTTCCAAAAGCATTCAATTGCAATATAAATCCAAAATAGGGATAATAAAAAAAACAACAATCTGAACTTGCAAGCTTACATTAGGTTATGTTTGCATTTCAGTTTGTTTTGTCGTTTACAGAATGGTTGCTGCTTATATTAAAATGTATTGTCATATCAGCTTCACCGGCTATTGCACAGCATATACAGATTAATATAAATACAATATATAAATTCAATATAATAAAAACAAACATTTTATTTAAAAAAAAATAACTTCAAAATGATCAAAATCGTGAAAGCTTTACTCTGTCTGTCATTTAATATACTTCAAGATTGATGCATACAATTCTGGATTTCTTTTGCATGGTTCCAATGTGCTCTCTAATACACTTTCTAACTTGTTACTGAGTAACCTGGATCACTCACTACATTGTAATTTTTGTAAGAGAAAATATTTTAGACTATGTATTACTAAAAATGTATTAATGGTGTAATATTTTTTAATGCAACTATGTAATATTATTAGCAACTACACTCAAAAGCACTTTCAAAAGGTACAAATTTGTTCCTCATTTAGCCCTAAATGTTGCATAATGTTACATACCTTAAATGTAAAAAGTCGTAGCTAAAGTGTACATATTAGGATCTTTTGAAAGGTTACTGCCCCAGTGACAGCTTTTGTACCTTTTCTTCTGAGAGTGAACCAAAAAATAAATCACATTTTAAAATGTTTTTGCATAACAACGCTTAATTGTAGCAGCTTGCTTGCTTGCATGCAACACGAACGCAAGTTTAAGCAGTAACGCGAGAAAGAAACAAGACTTTCTAGGACAGCAGGAATAAGATACGCCAAGCACTTGAGCATCCGGATCATTTCTGTGGGAACTTCAGCAAACTAGAGATCAATCTCCATTCATCGACTAGACTTTAAGGAATTTAAGGAGTGAAACAAATTCAAAGCGCATTCAGGAAACTGTTAATTACTTCAATGCAATCAAAGGTTGTTGTGAACACATGTATGACTCACAGGCAGGTTAGGACAAGAAATCCTCATTCACACGTTTGTCAGTTCATAATCATAATGATTGTTACTAATGATCTATGGCCGCAGTTCATTCTGATGTAATATGAGAAGCATTCAAAAATGATCAACATTCCATATGCATGAAGTGCATCAACTGAATTTTTCCACTGCAAAAACACCATTGAACTTTTCCAGATGCATCGCTCCTCACTGCAGACGGCTCCATACCATTTTTTTCCACCAGCTCCGAGTACTAACCTCTTTCTGCCTTTCGCCCCAAGTTCTTGAGCCATTATTGCTTTCGACAGACAAAGTATTTTGGCGGATGGAGTCGGTAAATAGTGTTAAAAGAAACCAGTGGTGTAATACGATATAGCTGAATGCTACTTTCAATGCCGTTTTCTTCTGAACGGTCTTGTTCAAAGCAATGCATATGCATTTTGGCATTCTTTGGCTTTATTTTGACAGGACAGTGCAATGTGACGGGATCAGGAAAAGGACCACAAGCCGGGACTTGAACAAAGTGCAAAGCGTGGGAGAAATACCCACAATGCTGCTACTGACTCCAACAACAGCTTTCTTTCAGAAAAGACAGTAAGCGGCCTGTTTTACACCTTCACAGTGTGCAACTGCATTCAATGCGCGCCACAACTCATCTTCATGTGTGTTACAAAGCATGATCAAGATCCAAACATCCAATCAATAGACTAATCATTTATTTTCTTTTTGCATGACAGTAATGTCAATGACACAATGTGCTATATTATCGACTAGCTCTAATCTGCTTACAGCATGAAGATATTACAAACATTAACATCTTGACTTTTTTTAATGTGCATGACTATAAGCATAAACCGATCTACAAGTAACCTGCAATTTTATTTTTCAACTACAAATCGCGATAGAACGGCCAAAGAGTGTTGGTGAAGCTTTAAGAATCCACAAATGAAATAACTTAAAAAACCTTTATTAGAATATTCCAAAGTCAAAAACCCTAAATCCTCTGACAATGGAGATCTGGATTTTGTACACAGCATTTAAGACTTTCTGACTAGGAATTTCTCACTGGTAAAAGAATGGTTAAGCAACCAGAAAAAAAAATACTTTTGGAAAAAAAAAATTTTTTAAATTACATTACGTTTGGAAATTAACTAATTTATTCAATGAAAAACTGAATGACTGTACACACTTAAAAAAAAAAAAAGGCTTCCAAAAGAAGGTTTTCACAGTGATGTCACAGTTTTTAGAACATTTAAAAAAAAAAAACTAAAGAATCTTTTCCCACTATAAGGTGTCTTTTATGGAATGGAAGAGTTCCACAGATGTTAAAGGTTCTTCATGGAACTGTGGATGACAATAAAGAAAGGTTCTTTTTAAGAGTGTATGATAAATGGCGAAACAGTGTGTTTCAAAGATGTGAGAATACAACTGTGAGCCTCAGTTTAGCCATACTTTGGGAGGGGGTGCTGGTGGCTCAAGTTTTTAGCAATTGAGATTCAACCACTTTGTCATGTAAATGCCCGCTTGGAAACGAAGCGCTGGAAATCACAGGCAGTTGATGTGAGCTGAGATGGCACTTCCTCTAAAGACATGCACAACAAATGGAGCGCGCCACAACTGTGCATTTGTTCATGCGAGTTCACTCTCTGCATTCAAATGAACGAGCACTAAACAATGACTCATAATACAGATCTGAGGCTGAACATTTCAAATGAAAACTGCGGGGTTTCCACGTGGATGAGTCCTTTATTTATTTTTATAAATTCAGGGTATCCACATACTTGCTGAATTAAAGAAAAATGCATTCAATTCTTTTTTTTTTCCTCCAATTGCTTGCTTTCACGTTTATTTTGCTGTGCTCCAGTTTACGGTTTTTGTGTGAACACCTAATTCGAATTCAAATTTGACAACCATGTTGATCCACAGTGAAGCGTCCATAAGTATTTTTTAAAGTTAAGTAATATAATGAGGCAAAATGTGAGTGTGTGTTATTGCCTGTATGTGGCACACAGCAGAAGATACACCATCAGTTGCTCTGCATAGATTCAAATGACAAACACGAGCTCCATGAGTGTGTTTCTCATGAGCGACTGTGACATGAGCAGCTCATAGCATGGTTAATAATGCATGTGCAGTAAAATGATCTGAATTTAGCTGCTGCGCATGGACCTTCAAAAGGCAAACAAAAACCAAATCAACTGGGCTTGTCCAAAAATATCCCATTCTAAACTAGTCATAACAAGCCACAGTGTTAAACTACTCTATTCCTTTATTTTACTGAAACTTTTACACACTATGCTAGTTGCTTTGGCAATATTGTAGCATGGCAATCATATATATATATATATATATATATATATATATATGCACAATGAAGAAGAAAAGTGGGCTTTTGTTTGTTGCACCTATAGTTTAAGAAACTATACTGTCTCTCATAGTGTTTTGCACCATAAATTTTCGTTTTATTGCACAGGTCTCTATATTTCTCCTATAGAGATAATTCAACGACAGATAAGCGTGATGTATTGCCTCCTACGAAAATCACATCTGGCCCTCATCCTGTTCTTTTTAAAGAAAAAAAACATGTCTTACTAAGATAAAGTGCCCCTTTTTTACGTTACTGAAACAATGCACGCACAATTAGGTGACCCGACATGCTTTCAACCCTTAAATTCAATCTTTAAAAAGTAGTAAGCTAAGTGAGCTATTGATCCTCCTGGTGTTTTGTTTAAAACCCCTGCAGTTTTGCTGCTCTCTATCCTGAGTCTGTGGATGTGTAGAAATGCAAAAACACGGTATCCGGACGCGTAGTGCGTAAAATGGAGATATGGATAATGTGAATGATACTCACGGATTGAGGAGAAGTCCAAGCAGATCTATTGACGCTATAAAAAGCGAGGGTCTCTAAGTCACCTCTAAATCAACGCACAAAGACTTTCATCGCGCGCTCAGGTAGATCGCCGATCCGCGCAGTCCAGAAACCAAACCACATTAGGCCTACGAATATGGACAGCTGAGACAAGCGAACACCCAGGTCACGTTTAAAATGAGCATTTCGCCGTTTTCAACAGCCGGAGTTGTCCCGCTCCATGCAACACTCGGTTTGGGGCAGAGCGCAATGAATGCGCGTTTAAATCAAAGCCATGCGCCCTTTCGTCGTCGCGATGGCCCGACCGGTTTCCCTCTGAACGCCCGTTTGCTATACCGAGACGGGACCCGCCGCACACTCAGCTCAATGAGAGCGCCTTTTCTGAAAACTTAAGGAAATTCCACTCGTTTGGTACTGCGGAAAGCGCCCCGCGATCCCGGAGCAGAGAGACGGTTTGCGCGTCGAGTACACCGGCTGCGTGTCTGTCTCACTGCAGAGGCGCGCTGGAAACCCCGGCCTGGAGCGGAGCGACACCTGGCTTACAAACTCAACCCCATTATAGGGGCCATAAACCTCGCGGAAGTCTCTCTTCTCAACAACTGTTCAAACACCGCCAAAAGTTTGCCTTGGGACGGTGATATAAAATCTGACTTCCTCCAAAACACTGCTCTGTGTACAGAGCCATATACTGAGATACTTCTTTATATACAGAGCTGGTTAGATTAGGCTACTTACAAATTGTAATCCATTACTGATTACAAATGACATAACTGTAGTTGTATTGGATTACACATATGTGACCCTGGAGCACAAAAGCAGTCTTAAGTCGCTGGGGTATATTTGTAGCAATAGCCAAAAATACATTGGCATGGGTCAAAATTATAAATTTTTCTTTTATGCCAAAAAATCATTAGGATATTAAGTAAAGATCATGTTCCATTAAGATATTTTGTAAATTTCCTACTGTAAATATATCAAAACTTAATTTTTGATTAGTAATATGCATTGCTAAGAACTTAATCTGGACAAATTTAAAGATGATTTTCTCAATATTTAGATTTTTTTGCACCCTCAGATTCCAGATTTTCAAATAGTTGTATCTCGGCCAAATATTGTCCTATCCTAACAAACCACACATCAGTGGAAAGCTTATTTATTCAGATGAAGAAATCTCAATTTCTAAAAATTTACCCTTATGACTGGTTTTGTGGTCCAGGGTCACATATTAAGTAATGTATTATGACTACTTTTAGATTACTTTTGATCTAATTCATATAAGAAAATCTATTCCATTCTTCGTTATCAACATCATGAAGTGTATTTAACACACTCTCAGAAAAAAAGGTACAACAGCTCTCACTGGTGCGGTACCTTTTCAAAAGGTGCACTTTTGTACCTTTTAGGCACTAATATGTACCTTTAAAGTACCAATATGGACTCTTTAGGTACAAAGGTGTGCCTTTTGAAAAGATACAGCCCCAGTGACAACTTTTGTACCTTTTTTCTGAGAGTGCATTACAGTATGCCAGGGTTTCCCAAACTGGGGTTTGTAATCATGTAATATGGAATCTAATAAAAATCAACTGTAATCTGATTTTTTGATCATTTGATAATTTATTAAGTACTTACTTTTTGGAATCAGATTACGTAATCCAGATTACATGTGACTATATGTAATCAGTTACAACTATATATAAATAGTTTTCATTTTAATATTTTTTTATATATTAATATTTTCAATCAGTTTTTATTTTAACTTTAGTTGTTGTTTTTTTTGTCGGTTTTGGTTTTTTATGTGTTTATGTAATTTAATTTAGTTATTTTAATACATCAAATTAAGATAAATTAAAATTAGAAATGTTTAACTAGCTGAAATATACAATTGTTTGATATTTTATTTCAGTTCATGTTTATTTTACTTCAAGTAACAAAAATGTTTTTTTATGCTTTTCATTTTAGTTTTATTTAACTATAATAACCATAGCCCACCTGCATAGTGTATTTATTACATTATAAACAACAATTACAAACACATTACAATTGTGTAATCAGTTTACAATTATTTTACCATTGTAACACTAACAGTAATTGGCAAAAATGTTGATTTGAATAAAATCATCTCTTATAAAAGTGAGATAAGTTACTTTTTATTTGAACTTATTTTCAGTAAAACTAATGCACTTACAGTTTGTGTAGTATGTTGTCACCTAAAGGCTCGAGCATTGACATCTAAATCGACTGGTTTTAATTCAGAGTGTTTATTTACATTACTAAAATACTAAAGTATTTTAAGTGTTAGATTAGGTACAAAAGCTCTTTAAAAAATACTCCACTTTTTACAGTGTAATGAAGTGACATGCATGGTTCACATGGTTTTTATATTAGTTCAATTATGGTTGATAAGCACTGTTTGGCCATTCCAGTTATACTGTCACATATTGATCCTACTGTCCCTTTGATTCAAGCAGGAAAATGAGCTGCGTGAAATTCGGGACAAATCCTTGTGTCTGATGATGAATGAGGTTTGGAGAAGAGTGCATGGGATCAGCAGGAAGTGCAGAGATGAATGAATGAATCAGGCAGACTCACTCAGTGGTAACTTGAGCCGCATGCAGTCATCTCAACACTTCACCCGACAAAAAAATGTTTGTCCAGCCATTTGTTCCCGGTGGTGTCCCCTGAGTAACAGCTCTGGGGCCCCGGCCCGCCTCAGGAGAGCCCAGGGAACAAATTACATGTGCTGCAACTATAGTCGGGTTATTGAAACATATCAGATGCTTTTGTCATTGCGATTCCTGTTCAGACAAGAATTCCTCCGAAAAAAAGCAAGAACTTAACTGTAAAGAGAGCATGAGAAAAATAACACACCATCTTCATTTCCTCGCCAGTATATAGTATATAGATTTTCTCATTTGAACCAGAACTCATTTTGCTACTGCGTTTACATAGACACAAGTTTTGCTCTGCTTCAGAAAAAAATATTAATTTCCATCTTTTTTTTCATCACAGGAACATAGGCAGGTCAGATCTCTTATATGAGGCGTCAACATTAATAATATTTTTTAAAAAAGGAAAGCAGGCACACAAGGGAAGCAATGAATTTGGGTCAGATTCACAAGGTGCAAAGCCAGTGGATTAGTGCTGTGCATGCATGTATTAATAGGCATCATTTTACATAATAAAGAATAACGGAATAAATGAAAACAGGTGTAACATTGTAATTTGAGGAAGAAGAAAAAAAACCGTGTTTAAGCAGTAGGTTGAACAAACTGCAAAGAGATGCCAACATTCATTATATTCAGTTTTCTTGTGTAATGTGTGTAATGCAAACTCTTATTTGAATGATATATAAATCTATCTATTTATTATTTAAAAAAATGGTATCCACTGTAATCTACAGTTGCACAGTTAGAACATTTGGAAAAACTACATTTGATATACTCTGGTAATGGCATAAAATGCAGCATGTAAGCAAATGAATTAGCAACAGAATGTGAAATGCATGTATGAATTTTTCAGAAATTTATTTTTCAAACAAAATAACTAAAGATAACAAAAAGATATATTTCAAAATATACAATAAATTGATAAAAAAAAAGGTTTTACTAAAATATATTTCAAAATAATTTTATGTAAACATGTTTTCTAACGATATATTTTATGGCCATTTTTGTGTATTTTTAAAATATATTTTAAAAATATAAATATTTATTTTTAAAGGCATTATTTTGCCTTCCACATAAAATACATACACATGTCACATTTATATATATATATATATATATAATTAAACATGATTAAATCATTATAAATCTAGTTTTGATCTCTAGTAGGCAGCAGCGTTTGCATTTAGCCTAAATGCTACTTTAAGATTGGAAAAGTCTTTTCTTGCCCCAAAACACATTTTGAATTATATTTTTGTATATGAAGGTTGAAACTAAATATATTTTCTAAATAAAAAAAATATATAATTCATTGAGCTGTTTTCAACAATATTTAGCATATATTCAAAATATATTTTGACCTGAATTAATGAATTGATGAATTGATGAATTGATGAATTGATTAATGAAAAATCCCTGCGATTGGTTTTTTACATTCATCTGTGCCTGCATTAACAATTAGACATTTTATGACATGGTTTTCAAATGGTAAAGCCTAAGAAAACAAACCTTAAAATAAGATTTAAAATAATAATAATTAAAATGTGTGCATATGTAATCAAGGTGTAAGGTAAAAATATTTAATGTTTCTTAATTTTATGTGATGGTTACAGCACTTCAAGCGAAACAAGCAATAAAACAAACTTAGTTTTTCTCCCAAAAACCTATAAAACCAACATATAGTAATAAAGAAAAATATATATATATATCGCTTCTAGGAACTTGTCACATTCATATTAAATTGTTTTATTTATTTTTTAAATAATTTTGAAAAACATCTTATTTGTCACTAACAACCAGTCAAATAAAAGAAATTCACTGATATTACATTGATACTGATTGCATTTTGTATATCTATATATGTACGCATTTGAGTTCAGCTACAGACGGATTCCAGCAGGCAAATATCTAATGTTTTCCATTCACATGCACAGGCTTCAATGTTCTCATCAGCCTCTCCTTTGTACTCTCTCCATTCGCACATGTGTTTCCCTTTTAGACATATTGTTCTCTATGCTAAGAAAACCTCAGAAAGAACTGAGAACTTTTCAGAAAGTGTCACACTGCTAATAAGAGAGCGCTGGAGAAGAACTGCGGCAAAATATATCTGTGGTAAATGAGGCATTAGTTTGATGGGGTAAAAAAAAGATGCACTGTTGTGCGGATGACTCTCCATCAAGACTTGATTTTTTTAATGAAACATATTTCGGTTTCTTTTAATGGGAGACAAAGCACATGGCATGCACTCCACCCACAAGCTCGCTTTCATAACCCACTTCTGGAATCACATTCTTTGCCGCTGAAGTCGACTCTATCCTTCATCCGCTGCTCATATGTCTACGAGAGACTGAAAACTGTAATGCTGCACTCAACACTAATTAAACCAGACAGTGATTCATCTTTTCTGAATCAGTAATATATTAGTGTCCACAACACTGTGAGCCCAGGGACTTTAGCGTACATGTAAGCTCTTAAAAGCATACACTGTAAAAAATGACCGTGAATTTAATGGTAAAAAACTGTAAAAATGCTACAGTAAAAACCTGTTAAATGGTTAACGGTAAGTTCCCCTACTATATACAGTGAAAAACTGTATTGGACATTACATGTAATTTTACGGTAGTATACAGTTTTTGGAAGTGAAAAAGGACGTATAATTTACAGTGAATAGCCGTAAATTTACGTTCCCAGAATTCCCTGCGTTACATTTCAAATTTGATGTTTTCTTGTTGAAATAACTATGTTTCTTAGTTTTTTCTCATCAGTTTTGTATATTAGGGTTGTGTGTTACACCTAATGTTGTTAAATGAATGTTTATTGCATTATTTCAGTTTCATGTGTGTTACCATGATGGTGTTTAGCGTTTGTGTGAATGACACTGTGCACCTTCTATATATGTTATTATTTAAAAGCTGCTTGTGATGAGCTTTGGTTCATCATGTGACTTTCTCATCACCGCCTGCATTTGGTGGTTATCAGTTTATTACAAAGATACAAAA